ACTGTCATTAGGAACAATACCAACATGACATCAACAATAAGGTCATGCACAGTTACACCATCATTACTGTCATTAGGAACAATACCAACATGATATCAACAATAAGGGCATTATGCACATAGTTACACCATCATTTTTGTCATTAGGAACAAGGAACACCATCCTCATCAACATGGAATGGAAGGATGGTTGCAATTTTTTTGTATAAATGGTTTCTGTAACAAGATTGTACTATTGTCTTTCAGTCAATACACTCATGATATTCCTTTGGTAATGGTATTTGGAGTAGCTACATCAGTATCAGCAGTACACCAGGTTCTTCCACACTCAGTTTCCACGCTTCTTTCCATTGAGAGATTTCAATCTCAACCATCACTCACTTGCTTACTTGAAATTATTTCAAAGGTTAGTCTTTTAGACAATGCTTCTTTATTTTTGCACAAATTGCATTGAATGCTACTTATAACGAAAGATAATAAACAAATAAAAGCTGTCTGTGCTTTATCTGTGAAAAAAGCACCTTAGTTTAAACATGCTTGCAACTAATATACTGGTCATTCCTTACAATAATATTGTTCCACAGGTTTTGATGACTGCTGGAATTCCTTTCAAGCTTGGACATAAAGTTTTCAGATTTCTCTATGAAAATTTCTTGTTCCATGACTTTTCATTGCAAAATTTCAGTACAGGATTACAGGTAATTTGCATTCAAACAGTTAATGATTTTTTACTACAAATGAAAATTTTCTTGCACTCCAATTGGTTTAGAGCCGTTGTAATTAAGACATACAAACAAATTACATCAACATATTGCACATCGCTCGCATATAGAGTTAGAGCTTGCTTTGAACCCTTTTTCTTCCAAACTTTTTGCGACTTTTTTTTGTAGTAAAAGATAAATTTCCAATGGTTTAGCATTGTATATCCTCTATTTACCATGATATAACTTCGACAAGATTAGTTTAGTACCCACTTGGCTATGCCTTGTGAGTGTGTTGTAACATTTTGACCAACTGTTGAAGTCATATGTTGGTAAATAAGAGGTCATGCTAAGCCATCAGAAATGATGTTATCATTAAAAATTATCAATAACATTATTAAATTACCTTTAATAATTAATGGATTAAAGGGGAAAATGTGAAAATTTGTGCATATTCTATTGTTTAAATACTCAATTGTGATTGACTAATTCGTATATGAAGAAGACGTCGTTGTTTCTAATGAAACAGTAATGATAAAAAGGTAAATTTTACACCGGTAAAAGATGAAAAAACTGATGTTTCGGACGCTATTCCTTCGTCGGAGTAAAAGAGAAAGAGGTGGTAGAAAGGAGTGTTTATGTGATAGAATAAACCAATGAGAACAAGGTAGGCAAGGAAACCAATGAGAACAAGGTAGGCAAGGAAACAAAAACAAACAATCAAAAGACAAAAGAATGGGTTAGTTAAAAGCCCAATAGGTGAATAAGCCGCATTTCTTTGGTCTTGCGATAATCATTGTTGCTGTTAATCAAAGAAAGACTGAAAACAATGAAGTCAAAAAGAGAATGGTTAGCTAGATTGAAATGGCGGGAAACTGATATGGTGGGATCATTATTTCGAATATCATAAAGAGTTTACGGTCATGACGACCCCAGGCATGACGCCCCCACGTATAACATGGTGCCCCCAGCATAAACCATGACGCCCCTAGTCTCTATTAACATTTTTTTAAAGTGCTACTTGGACGAAGGCATTCTGAATGTTGATCTTGGGCCGTGTTGAGAGTGCTTCGTGACAACAGCGTGACCTTGATCGCGCGAAATATACATTTTAATGGATGAACATTTCTTAGAATTCCTAATTCATCTGAATGATGTTCTTTAACTCTACAGCTATATCGTGTTCTGGAACTAATCATTAATGACAAAATTTGAGAATTATTGTTAAACTTCTTATTAAGTAAGTGTTAATAGAGACTAGGGGCAACAGAAGTTAGTGTGAGAGGCTACATGAGGACAAGTATGACAATGATTGCGAGAGCAGCGAAAAGTACCAGGTTCTTTGTCAGAGGGAAGAACTCCCTTGACCAAGAAAGAACGAAGATTACGATCACTTTTATAAGAAAAAAGAGGGCGGTTGTTGAAAATAGCAGAAGTGCCAGTATCAGAGTCAAGCAGAGAAAAGTTGTGGTTAACAATGGGTTTAATGGAGTTATTAATAGGATGATACATAAGAATGAAAGGAATGCGATCATTAGAGAGACAAGTTTGAGGAGTGAGAGCGTTGGTACGATCAATAATGTAGAAGCTTTGCGAATATTTGTTGCCTTGGTTGGTAAAGTCGCTCTGTAATGAAGATAGCCTTACTATGTTGAACCAGTGGTTTCTCAATTATAATAATATATATATTATAATGATATCGTTGGTGATAGGCATGCATATACTGTTTATAAAACTAAAAGACGCCCATGTATAACAACATTTTATGCTATTACGTCTTATTCCTGTTAAACTGCTTGCATGCATGCATTGTTTGCTCGTGGACACAGCTTTGTGATTCTTGGTTAATATCTGTTTATTGATTGAACTAAAGAGCAGATGGTGTCAGAATCTTTTGTCTAAAATACTTGCATATTCATTGTTTAGTTTTGTATGATGGAACATTTCTATGAGAACCCAGTCAGTGTTGTTTGCTGTAAGCAAGAAGAAAGAGAATCAGTCATTACTGACTTGAGTCATGAGGAGCTAGAAATCATGCGCAGAAGACCTTCCTTTAGAAAGTAAGCCACTTTACTTTCATTAATATATTTAATACCTAATAGACATAACTAACAGTTTGTAGATAGTGCCATATATTTATCTAAACATTATCTTTGTATTTTCTGTATTTGATATTCTAATAGGTATGTTGAAAGTTGTGAGATGAAAGAGCAGGTCTTCTTGTTGTCTGATGATGACCACACCAAGGTATAGAAAAAAAACTGCATATACTCACTCAGTTAATTTGTTTATTGAAGAGATAGAAAATGAGCGAGCGTGCTATGTTGAGTTATACAAGCACACGGGAAATTGCATGAGTCCTAGAGAAGTGCTAGGAGAAGCACGAGCCGTATGCTCAAGTTTCGTCCAAATCTCTGCTTGTTCTCTTAAAAAATCTTTAAAAATCGATAATTGTAGAAAATACAATACTGTATCAAGGAAAGGAATGGAGGTTTTGGAAGAATTATGGCAAAATTCATTGAGATTTTCATGCGCAAACTTATGACAGACAAAAAACTGACTACTGAGATAATGATGGCATTTTAAAAGGATTCCCTCAAAGAACAGAAAAAATCCAAAAGACAACTTATTCACATGTATTCAAGAAGAAATTTAAAAGGTAAGAACAGACGAAAGAATATTTAAAAGAAAGTGCAAGTTAACTGACAAGAATCTAAAGTGAATTGTAAACATGGCACGGCTTTGAATGATCTGACAACAAAATATTTTTAAATAAATCTGTTCAGTTTATCACTCATTAATTAGAAAAATGATCCCAAGAACTGACAAAAGGAAATAAAATCTTGGAAAGAGATCTTTGAGCAAAATAATAGAGACAAATAGCTATAGACATAGAGCAAGTTTAAGCTTTTATGCGCATTATATGCGTGCCAAGTTCGTATAAAGATGAATGAAAACAGTGCTGCTGGTTGACCGTTGTTTTGTTCAGTAAAGTTTCGAGTAGGGTTTAAAACGTTTTGGACCATAGCGTGAACGTACCGTGGCATGAACCAAGTACCATAGCGTGAACCAAGTACCATAGCATGAACCTAGTACCGTAGCATGAACCAAGTACCGTGGCATGAACCTAGTACCGTAGCATGAACCAAGGTACCGTGGC